GTATTTTTAATAGGTTACGTACTCGGTAGCTCGATAGCTGGGAAGACAACGACAACAGCAACATAGAGGCGGTGCTGCTAACGATATGTTAGCGTGCTTGAGTTTGGCCACCATGGTATGGTAGCCGCCATAGTAGTCCGCTATCAGAAGACAGAACTGGTAATACGCGATGGCTAAGTACCTAGTAAATAAAAAAACATAATATCATTGGTAAATATTATTCTATTATTATCCGCGATCACGATATATGTCGCTGGCTGTGGCATGTTGGTAGGACGGTGCTACAATTACAATAGAATATGTAGAATATGCGCATTGTGCATTTACTATCAGTATTAAATTAATTCCACATATTTCAATTATTGAATTCATGTTTACGCTTTAAGTGAAAATACCATGTTAATGATGATTCATGACAGTTATACGTTCAATGAAACATAATAGGGAAAACGTCAGTAAATTTAAACAATTATATATTTGCTTAGTGGATGAATTATAAATTATAAATACACGTTTATTCAAATAACTATTCATGGTATATTTATAACCGTGACGAGTTATAGCGTGCAAGTTATATACAGCATGACGAATGAAAAGTTCACAGTAATCAATATACCGGAATCGTTTTGCAGGCCACTGGCTGATACGACCACGATGTCTCTCCGCCGCAAATCAGCGTTAAATACACGATCGATCTGTCATCCCGACTCGTGATCGCTTGATGCCTACTTTGACATCATTACGCAGTAACAGCTGGTGTAGAAACCCGTCGTTAAAAGAATTTGACACCAAACGTCGCACACGTGTCGCCGTTATGACCAATATTTAACCAACAAATATATTATAATATTTATACTATTGATACTGTCCCTCTGACTACCATGCTCAATTATCGACCGTGACGATAAATCAGGATTTTAAAACAAAAAAGTAACAATTATTAATACAAATATTTTTATTGAATTTCTAGGATACAGGCCCACACGACTATCTTATATTGTAATAACTACATATTTGTTTTTATAGTTTAAATGTAAATAGCAATAAACACTCTATTTTGAAAACTTAAAATGTAACAATTAACATAAACTTAAAATGTAACAATTAAGTAGTAACAATACGCAAGTACGAACATTCAATAAATCGGATGAAGGGAGGCATCAATTATTCCAATGACTTATGAAACTTTCCTAATTATAAAACATATATGTTTCAACAGCAATGTTAATTTGTATATATGCAAATTAGTGAGTATGTTAATTAGTGTATATGTAAAGTGATATTTGTGGAAAATAATTACTAATTTATTAATTGATTATATATGCAAATGTGTTTCCATGCAACTTAGTTCATATGCAAACTAACAGTAATACAAAACAGTGTATAAACACGAGTACTCACAAAGATATGGACAAATTCAGTATCGTAGAGGTACCGGGTATATACAGTCCAATCAAAGACAGAACAGAAGAAACCTGTGCGGGAAATGAAAGTGAAACAAGGAAATATGTTAAAATAAATATGGGTAGTTATATACTTAGCTGCGGGACTTCTCCATTGGTAAATTTACTGACTTCAAAATATAGTATTATGCACTTGGTATGCATATATCCTTTCCACCGCGAGCCTTTCACAAATATATGCATTGCGAGGCATGTCAAAATTGGCATACGGCGGTATACCAGCAAATACATACATACGCCTTGTTTGACATTAATTGAACATTTTTGAATACCAGACATATTTTACATTTTTTTTATTTAAATATTCGGCAATGTCAAATTGTTTAATTGATATCGGAATGTTATACACTATTTCATATTTTTTCTATGTATGTTTGGACAACCTTGGAAGTGACGACTGTGTAACATTAATATTGTAATTTTCAGCATTTAAAAATATACTATTCGGCTACGTGCGGCAATTGTGATGACGATCAGAAAGTTGAATATAAATAGTTCTCGTAATGGATGTCCCCACGCAGTGATGTGACTGTGGATTTATATCTCACGCGAAGGAAAATCGTATGCTTTAAAATGAAAGCTCCAATAACACTTTAGTGTTATTGGAGCTTTCAAATAATTGTTTAATTATAGTATGATTATAAAATTATTTCAAATAATTGTGTGTCAAGTTCTCGGAATACATGTAATCCCCCTCCACATACACCCACACCCCAGACAATGTCGTCATTCGTAATGATCACGGGATATTGACGAGAAACAAACACGTGAGAAAAAATGTGTAAACCAACCGGATAGGCGCCAAGCAGCCATGTCAGTCGTGTCCGGCGTCTATGCGCTGGTATATTTTCCTGCATAAATCGTATTGCCTCTAAATATAGTACTACCATCAACACTGTTAATATTGTGGCAATCGTCAACATAATAATTCCTGCAACTCGAACCTCTGAAAGTAGGCACATATCGTGTTAATAGTATTAGGGGAGAACCATTTGAAACTCTGGGGCGATAAAAAATCCTTTTTTTCTTAACTTAGTTTTGTGATATTTTTTCAATGAAGAAGTCGCTGTATTTTATCTGAGTGTAATATTTGCCCTCGGGAAATAGCACGCATAGAATTTTTTTCGGTTATGGATTCCTGCAGGATTGTTTTACATGATTATTTTTTCGTGGCATTTTTTTTTCTCAATTCTGCCATTGGCCCAGATTTTCTAATGATCCTCCCATTATAATAAAAACACATGATTTTAATTTGGGCGTATAAACATAAGTTGACGGGACAATCTAGAAATCATATAAAAGTTGGTTGACCCCGGCGAATAAAATAGTACTTTCCGAACTTTACGGGAAAGTTTTTAGTATCTAGCAGTTAATTGGTTCACTTAACTTAGTGCAGCCTTACAAAAACACATATCAGCTAGCTGGGTCCAAATAGCAGAGACCGTGACATTGGAGTTATTATCACGCGCACATACACGTCACAACAACACACACTTTGTCACAGACTCGACTCATCGCGACCTTTTCAGTCACGGCGGGGACAATTGATATCGATAATCGGCGCTCAGCATGCCCTGACATGACCCGGCCGAGATGGTCATGGCCGTATTTATGTACGTTCTAGTCATGGCGAATCCTTCAGTGACGGGGATCTCTGTGACTAAATACTTACCAGTAAACATGGTCTCGGCCAAAATGTCCTCTTCGCTACAGTTGTCGAACACCATGGCTTCGAATCTATCGGCGATGACGATGTCATCCGCAGTAACGTCCGACTGGTTTGAAGCTGGGAAAGAATCTGTTGAGGCAACCATGGCGAGAGAAGTCTAGTTATAACCGCGATCTGTCTAAACAACGACGTCGATTTGTGGAGTCAACAAACCGAGTCAATTAAAGTTAGAAAGTTCCTGGTTTCACAGTCACTGACCTCACCTATTGGTAGTTCATAAGAAACGAGTTGTCCAATGACGAACCTAAAATTCCACCATAAATATGCAAAAAAACTCGTCGGCCATTATGTATACCCCGGGCGACCTAATGCCCTGGGTCAATTAAATACCGAGATAAGCACCGATTTCAAAACCAGGCGTTGTACATTAATTGGCATTTGCTAGCCAATAATGCAGAGAAAATTCAACTCGATTCCGATTACAGGGAATGAACCATTGTTTCGGGCGGGGGTGGCACGTATACAGAAACGCCGTCACAGCTGACTCTTTAATCTATGCGTGTAACGTGGAATACGCACGATCTGACGGTGCGTTGTCCAGCAACAAAAATGAACAAAAAAAACTAGCCTAGTACTACTACTAGCTGGGTTAATAGTATTTTTTTTCAACATTTTTACGATTCGCTTGCCTTGTTGTTTTGTTATACTGCACACATTCGAAGACAAGGTACATGAAACATTCAATCTAGGTATAGGTTTATTTTTTTTATTTTGGGTTGTCTTCAACTGTTTTTGTGGTGTTATTATTTTTTTTTTACATAATATATATAATATTATAATAATATTATTATATTAATAATTATATACTAGTAATAATATTTTTTTTCAAATAATATTTTATTAAAAAATTGTAATTAAAACAAAAATGTGGCCTATGATGCATATGATTTTAGTCAGATTGCTGGAACATTTCAGCATTCAACTAAGCAATCATGGTGTTCAGCAGAAACGATTATAGTTACCGAGGCCGAGGCGAGATTATATTATCCCCTCTGTGTCGAAATCTAAATATTGAATATTGTGAGGGCATATGAGATATGCAGTACCATAATTATCATATAAAGTTGTCAAAAAACTGACACAATAGAAATTAAGAATACCACAGTGGTTTGTAATATCATGGGAATACTTACAATATCTTTAAATAAAATGCCCATTATCTCTGTACATGACGACTGAAGTGCAGAAGGAGGAATGAGAAGGTATAATACAGCGAAGTGTGTTATTTGTATACATATAGTCGAATTGGAAACGTTCAATTTAGTGACTTTGAGACAATTTATGGTAAAGCATTTGCATTTTGATAAGACAAAGCAAAATGATGAAATACTTGCGACGTTAGAACTGTGCAAAACCACTAATATATAACTCTTCATGGCTAAGATAAATAGGTCACAGACTCTCCATTCGGCTGTGTTTGGTTATTATTGGGGTTGGGTGTTCAACAATGCCATGCACACATGCTACGCTGTAGAGTCCTAGCTATATGATGACAAAAGACAATAAATACTGCCAGACAATTCAAAGCCAGTCACGTGATTAATTTAGACCAACCTTTGAAACACGAACAGTTTTGAATCGTGGCAAACTTTCCTGATCCGAATTAGACCAGTAAGTATGGGACTTAGCAAACCACCACGGCCGCCCTTGGTCTTGTTAATAACCACGCTCACGAGCCACCCGTCAAATACCTCCAAGGCATATATTATGAAAACGACATAAGCAATATACACGACGTGACACTGGTACCAGCGGCCATTTACTAACTGGGCGTTAACAACTTTAAGTAAACACGACGCAAATTAAACATGGAATAATTGATAGCGACGAACAACTAATAAAATACTGTAAAAAACACTACATACCGAAATGGGAACGCTGTCAATAATACAGCTGCGACTCGTATCACATAACACAACACTAGGAAATAAATAGAAGTGTCAGGCTAGTCGAGGAGAACTCCCGTGTAAGTTACGGAGGTACGTGCAAATGACGGTCGGATCTTCTATAATGGCGTTATCAACAGATGTTTTTTCTGTTTTCTATATTTTGCAATATAAATGTGTGTTGCTGGTACTCGCGTTGAAAATACACGGCTGTATGCATTTGAATAAACCATAATGGCATACAATTGAAGCTTTGTGTATGTTGATGGAATAATTCCACTGGGCGTCATTTGGCGGCGCACTTCACGATAGGTTCTTATAGCACTCGATTCATGATATACCGGCACGTAATATGTGGACGCCTCTTAATTCCACGCGATTACGTGCATGACTCAAGCTGACATGTCATCGCCCTCTCGGTGATAATCAGTACATGTGTTATAAAAAATAAAGTTATCGTGTTACTAAACTAATTTGTTGCTCATGTGTCTACAGTATACGTGTTACTACATGTAGTATTATGTATAGTGATTGAGGGACGGCTCGGATTTGAAATACCTAATGCAATCACAGTGTATCAAATGCATGGTGAAAACAAGGCCGTAAACCATCACTGCTGTTTCTATTCGAAGTTTGTCGAATATCGTTTTTACATGTGAAAGAAATTTGTTATCGCGAACAGTGTTGAGTGGTCATGCTTTATTTCTGAATAACAAAATTATTTTCAAGTTACAAAGGTGTCGCGTCGTTTGATTAGTGGCACAAGGAAGCCCCACTTTTAGATTTAACCGTCCGAACCGAATACTTGTGCGGCGTTTTTTTTTATATAGATTTGTATTGTGATTATTGCAATAAAGGAGAGATGCCATTGAATTCCTGTTGCCAAGCCAACAACAAACCATGGTGACATAATTGACGACGTAATATATTGTCAATCCAATTATATATGTCGTTTGTTAGGTGATGTTGGTGAGAAATGAAACAAATCTTTCATCTTGATTTTGTTTCAAAATGCACTCAAACCTTGGTTTGGTTTTGTCATACTTTGATGCCTCATCGCAGCTAAATACTATAAAACGGTCGGAAGTTACGACATGTTGACAAGATTCGCCAATTGACTTCCTGGTATGTGCAAGCGTGTTTCTTCATATCCAGGCTCTCTCGCGAGAGGTTAAAATGAGACAACAAACATTTTTTTTTTCAGTTTACTCATTATGTAAATGACAACGTATTACGCACTGAATTAAAGTACCATTGCTATGAATTGCTCACTTAAAACTGGAGAACTACAAAGTGTTGACAACGTAAAATAAATACATGAAGTAGTATACAGGTGGTATGTATCGTCTGAGCATGACAAGCGTAAATTTGCTCTGCTTAAAAAGTCGATTGGATAACAATCACAAGTATGTGAATGTGTATGATGCCAAGTTACCACCGACCACACCACACGCACATATAAACTTAATCGATAGAGGGCGTAGGGCTTATCTCCGCTGTCTCATTGTTACATTACCACTCCTTATTTGATCGAGAGGGAAAAAAATCACTTCACATCCATGGCAGGTAATGAAAAAACAGTTGTAAATGACACAAGTTATACAAAAACAATAATATTTTGATGCAAGGCAAGTGTAATTGAAATTTACAATTCAAAATGCTACTATAACGTACTGGGTCGGTTATTGGTTTGTTTTCACGAAGCAAATACGGCCGATTTGTTCAGAAAGGGCGAATTTAAACGACGATAGAGACTATTCATTGAACTCGACGTACTGCGTCTCCCAAATTCTAAATTCCGCCACATATTTCAACTTATTCGGGTTTAAATGGCGACATTCCACAATACAGGGAAAGATACATGCAAATATACAAGTAATCCGTTGTTCGACCGATGTGTCACGTGGTATCGAAATAAGCGGCTGAAGTAGATATAAAAAAAAATTGTGCGTAATTCTGTAACAATTGTCCACAACCACAAAGATAAATAACTGGGTATCTATAAACACGTCATACATCAGTGAATCCAGGTATCTGTGTCGAACAACAACACCCTGTAGATCGCCGGTAACACGTGAACACGTGTGTTATATACGTTGACGATATACATGTATATAATATACGCGTGTTCACTATTATTGCCTTAATTATTGCATTATGCAACTAATATGCCGCTCATCACAAAAGGTTCATTGTTTGAAATGCATGGTTGTGTGACCATACGTTTAAAATAATGGAATATGCATTGTAAATATTATAAGCTATTCAGTTTGGTGACTGCAAGTAAATGTTCATCATGTAAATATTCTTGATTCACTCAAATTAAAATGAAACGCACTTTTTTTTTTTGAAAAATACGACGACCTGTTATTTTTTCTTTTTCTTTAGCTTTTCTACTTTTGTTTCGATTTGTATAGAAATGTATTCAACTTCGGGTACGTGACCTTGATAATCTGATTGCAGTAAATATGTCGTAACAAATAAAAACAAATGCTAACCTATTGGAACTGTATGTTTGTGCTTGGATTTGGTAGAAACTAGCTTTTTCGCGTTAGCATTTAGCATTATTCATTTTGAAGTGGCTAGCATCCGAAAAATACAGAGGAAATTCTGTGTGACAGTGAAAACATAATCTATGGTGAAAGCCTCTTTGAGTAAATAAATATGGCATATGACAAAGGAAACGACAAATAAACTCTGATCTAGAAACCCCTCCAAAAATAATGCTGTAAAATAAGTCGTAACAGTAACTAAAAAAATGTCTTGTTTCTATGCCTGCTCGAAGATGTCGGACAGCAGTGGGGTTCTTTCATTTGCCTTGCGATAGTCAGCTGTCAACGACTCACGTTTATTGAGACGTTCATTCTGTCGTATCTTTCGATAGATCTGTGACGGTGGCACTATACCGTACATGTTGCCCTCCTGGGTGCGGTACAGATGACGTGCCCAGAGTAGCAGGAAGAACATCTCGAAAATCAACAGATTATGGTTCAACCCTGGATGAGGAAAAAATAATAATAATAATAACAATAATAATAATAATAAGATGATTGGATTAGAAATACATGTTAATTTAATTGATGGTGATAATATGATGATAAATTGTGGAAAATACGTCATAAACCTGCTTCATGACACGCAAATGTTACGTAACACTTACACAGCGTCCTAGATTGGTTGGCGAGTGGTCCCGATTTCCTACATGCAATGACACCGAATGTTCCCAAGAATGAAAGGAGTGTCTCCTGCAAGATGGTAGTGATGAGAACCAATCGGATACAGATGAACTTTGGCGTGATCTTGCAGTCTTTCAAATGGTCTCCTACCATGCTCTTCATCAGTCCTATGTTAAACATGGCGTAAATAGTGGAGATGTTGATAGCCACGTACAGATAGACGTATGGCAGGTTACTATCGTACTAGGAAATGCAGGGAAATATATTAATGTTGCGGGGAATGCGATATGCACAAACGAACTGCCAGTTAGTTGCACGCCACTATTCAGAAGCTGCGCACTGACTAAATATGCAAATTACCTACTTAAAATGCACGACATAATTATTGTAATCGACAACGATCATTTTGTATTTGATTAAGCCCAGCATATAACACAAGTAGTGACACGGTTTATACTGTGAGCGAAAGGCAATAAACCTTGCACCCCGCGACGGTGGGGTGGGGGTGTTTCCTTGTTTGACTTATGTGTGGTAACATCATGTCTAGATGAACAACGCATACGGACGCCTAATTGTTATTTCACAGTAACCTAAATAATTCCATCAATTGTTCAATGTCAACGTGAGAGAATTTCGACAGTAATTGTAACTGCTTGTCTGCCGTGATGAAGATACAAAGGGCATGTCATATAATTAGCACATGCCCAGTGAACTTCAATTATGCGATGCTGTCCTTCCTCTGGCTGTGAGTAAGTGAAGACGTCATACACTCACACACAATGTTGGATGTACACCTTGCGTACAGTGTTGGGTGTGAATTAAAAAGATAACCATACATTTCATATCGTGGTACATATATGATAAATTTAATCTCAATATTAATATTAATAATAATAAAATATCTCAGTACTGTAAATTTGCAAAAATATAAAATTTGAACTTATTGGCACTTCAAGAGTTTTGTCGAGTTCACTCGATGTCTCTTTTCTATATACTGCTATTCTCGTGTTGTCCCTCCTCCCCCTCTTCGTCTTCCCCTTCTCCACTCCCAAGCTCACTTTCCCCCAACGACTCCCCCACCTCATCTTTCCCCATCTCCACTCTCTCAGATTCTTCCTCCCCATCATACTCTTCGTGCTCGTGCACTGTTTCCAACATTGGTATATTTTTGAAACCGCATTTTCCTACCAATTCATCGGATTTCCTTTTCCTGGCCAGTCTCCTCTTTTCCTTCAGCGCTGTTGCCAGGCAAGCAAGTTCGAGAGATGGATCCCACAATGGGTTAATGAGAGGGTTAACCTTTAACAGCGCCCGATCGTTGTCGGTTAGGTCCTCGTTGTTTTCGACAAGTATATCCGCAAACTCGCTCTCGTAGTACAAATCCGATCGCAAATTAGGTCGCTTTTGTCGGATCTCGGCGGCGTCCCCCAGACTGTCTCTAACGTTCCTTTCCGTGAAAAAGCTCGGCTCATAGGAACAATTTGTTCTCTTGTTGACTGCCTTCGTGTGTTTTCCACGACCAGAGTCCTGGCATGCTGTAAAGCTTGTGGATATTCCATCCAAATCGTCGGGACTTCTTACATCGCCCTGGTCGGCATTACAATCACCCGGAGACACGTGGCTAGTCCTTTTTTCTGTGGATGATGTGTATGCATCATCCGTCGACCCGGGCAGCGTGAAGCACACGACGTGGGACAGATTAACCGGTACTCGGCCGTTACGTTCAAAGAGGGGCGTTGTTTTCTCTGGCAAACGCAAATCAGAAACATTGCGATCATCGTAATTCTCCTCGTGGATTAATATACAGTTTTTACTCGTGTCTTCGACGTCATTTAACAAATCAACATTGGCTGCGTTGCGAATAAGCATATCCGTTGTCCAAGGGTTTATTCTTTTATTTATGCTCGATTGTGTCAAACCAGGCCGATGAAAAAATTTAGAATTGGGAAACGTCTGCCTTTTCGCCCTACCATTGGCCGTACCTACAAATGAACTTCGCGATATACAATGGCCATCGCCGAGACGACTATGGCAAAGTACGTCGTCTTCGCTAAATATGGGCAACACGGTTGCAGTTCTGTCGAAGAAAAATAAAGAACATATATTGTGATTATTTTCATGTTCACACTGTTACACAGAGGGATGAAAAGTAAGAATCGCAATGAATCGAATGAAAGTTTACAATAATGCACATTTTCGAATGTTTTACCGTGATTTCGCAGAAATTATATTGCTTCGATAACAACATTACGACGACAATTGTGGTAACGTAAGATCGAATCGACAACACGTAAGTGTACTCAGCAGAAATCGCGAAGCAACTCTTTGTGAATCAGAGTGATGTCTACGAGGGAAGGCCAAACAATCAGATTAAGTGGAAAGTTAAAAGGATACCATCCTCGAATATTAAAGAAAACTCACCTTTTTTTAGTTTTCACCCTTTTCAAGCAACCCGGTAAGGACGTTTTGCTTTTACCACAACACTGACCCATGCTCAACTATAAGCTTTTAAAAATGACTCGAACGCGGTGTATAGTTGCTCATATAACAATAGGGGTCACGCAATTGAAAAGAAAAAAACACGCACGCACACATCCACGGTTCGGAAAGTTTCTTGGGGTTAATATTGACACACTGGTGCGATCGTGTCTCGTGGTGTGTAAGAGAATTCTTTCAAGCGTCCAATACATCGTTACAATTCAATGAATAGAGGAAAAACAATCATCTGTTCACGGAGTAAGCATCCATAATCTTCTCGTCTCTCAAGGAATCTTCTTGCGAAAAATAGTGGAATAATAGTCTCATGGCTCGGCAGACATAATGTGTGAAGTCTATAGGGAGTGTATAGATGCATCTCACAAGGGAACACAGACGAGAGTGTTTGCCATTGACAAAACCCCACATACGCAGTCGAGTAGAGCCAATATATGGACAGAGCATTGTTTCGTAAACTTGGAGACGAATATCGAGTGTTAATTTAAAATTGGGTGCCGAGTAGTACGAACGAGATATGGCTAATAGATCTAGAGTTTGCATGGAAGATGGTATTACGATGTTATAGTATGAAAACGTCATTGCACTCGTACTGTGTCCAATGCTTGATTCATCCAAGGTATACGACACTATAACAATCTACTAAATATTTTATAGCAACACGTTGCAAGTTTGCAAAGGGAGATTTGAGCTTTACACATGCTTGAACATGTAACCATGAACGAACATCTTATGTCAGTTTAACAACTCCACAATCCAGCTTTTAAAGTGAAATTGAACATTACATTCAAATATACCAATACGTTCACCATATAGCAACTGACATTGTCTAAATGAACTAATCGCATGATCGTATTTACTGCAATAAATAGTATAATATGTCCATAATTATGCGGTTTGGAATAAATACATATTGTAATACTTTTATAGGAAAACACCTCCCAGCCATGCCCGATTAGTTCTGAAACATGCATCCATGAACTTATTTAATTTAAACACACAAATCATCAAGAGGATATAGCTGTGCTAATCAGCTCAATTGAATTTAGATTAGTTCCGAACCAGTGACGGAAATCACTCGCTTCAGGAGCAACTAAGATTAGATCAATTTGAACTTAATCTGGAATTAAAGGGCGGTGGTCGCCGCGCCGCGTTCGAAATGGGTCTCATACGACGTATCACAACGCGTGTAAAACACAGTTTGTTAACACGAAATTCGAGCACGCGCTGCGTGACGACCACCAGAACGCATAAATTACTCGATATTACACAAACTATGAGGAAATTGACAAGAACAAATAGTAAGTCATTCCCGCCGAAATAGTATTCCCACATAGACCAACGCGGTGCATTTCACGCACCTGACCATATACTAAACGTTCTGCGGGTTACACTTTACCGTTTTTAATTTCAATTCCGTTCTAATGTTATTGATTGGAGCGAGGTTTGTATAGACGTAGTAACTGACCACTACTATATACATATCCAACCGTGAACTGAACTATTCGGGCCATCATCGTGTGTTTTGTTCTAAGTAAAATTGATCTCAAACAATTCTTGGCAATTCTCCAAGTGACTTCAGCGTACTTGAAAGTTTGGATGTGTAACACGTGGACGAGACACACCAGTTGCAGTGTTGAGCCACACTGTCTGGCTTCGCTTGATAATACTGACATACGTTTTAGTAAATTACACTAAATGTACACCTGACATTCACTGTGACGAACATCGGATCGTCACAAATAACGGGCACGTCGACTCAATGTTGAAATCTGGGATAAACAATACATTATAGTTGACAGGGATTGTTGCTGATTTTTCCAGCGCATCTCTCCTGTCCTTCTCTACAGCACTTGTTTAATAAATGCGTGTCAAGTTGTAATTAAATTGGTTGTAGGAGCCGTGATTATTTATTGTTCGACGTTAGCAGAAAATACACACGTTTCAAGTTCATCCTAGTTACTAGTATTGATAAAGGGCCGACGTTTGAAAACAGAATTGATCTTAAAACATTGTATGTATTCAATAGCACGAATTCATACATCTGTCATGGTACACCTGTGCGTAAACATATGTAAAAACAACCGGTCTTGTCGCGTAAATAACATGCACTCAGCGAAACATTGTATGCTGTCACCTTCCCTCCTTGTAACTACCGATTCAAATGCAGGTAGCCATGCGAACATACGCCGCGCGAATGGGTGTTACTACTAAGCAATGCTCAGAGTCGAAACTCTTGTTTTTATCATAACATAGACAATGGTAATTTGTTTTCCTACAGCGCAGCTGATAGAAAATTTATATTACGCATGCACAGTCCCTGTGACGCATGCAAGGTGAATGACCGCCGGGGCCCGCCCGCACTTCCCTCTAACAGTAACCGGTGGCTGTGACCGGTTACACTGGACATCTTCGTTCTGCGGGCAAATAGTGGGACGCAATGATACGAAATCATATAAGGACACCAAGTCGGCTTTGACATTTCCTTATCACCGATCAACTAGGATAGAATATACACTAGTTGCAGCTCAGTGAAATCCACGCACGATTACCCTAGATAGAGACAGCAGTTCCTGGCTAACTTTGTGTAACACATCCATAGTTCGAATATAGCGTGTAATAATATCAATTTCATTATATTGGCATTTAGACGAATCGATTACAAGTTGAACACCAACCATAACCGTCCCAACTCAATGGCATTCATTGTCATTTATTCATCTATTCTTAAAAACTGTACAATGTATTGCTAACATAATGTGATTGCCTTGCAAAAACACTGTTGACGCGTCGAAATCCCGCGAGACTCTATACGTGACATAACGCGTGACTCACCTTGGTTGGGTAAATATAAGTGGCTGACTCTATTATCAAGATGATGTAATAAAATAAAGGACGCAGTACAGCATGCTGCATAATACCACACTCAATTATTTTCACGTGTTTCCTGATAAATAACAAAAATAAATTAAACATATAGTACACTGTAACCTTGTTATAACGAACTCTTTGGAGGGCATACAATGAGTTTGTTAAAGTGAAGTGTTCACTATAATGAAGTATATAATGCATTGAGATTGTTGTGGGCGAGAGACATGCAATGTGTACATTATATCAGGAAGTTCATTATAACGAGGTGTTCATTATAACGAGGTTACATTGTATTGTTAATGTTTTGACCTTTTACAATATAATATTCTCATAAATTGTTTGTAGAATAGAAAATGAAAGCAACGCACTTCCGGTGACAGAAAACAGAACAGACAGAGATAAATGTCCAGAAAATATATTCTGTCGTTCGTGAAGCCCAACTAACCCTCAACGCCTGAAAGGAATCATGATACCTTCGCAGAAAAAAAAATGTGATGAATTGTTAACTCACGCGTCCATGGTCATGACCGGAAGACAAGGGCATATACAAAATGGGAAACTGGCCAAAGATACTTCCTGTCCTGTTATGATCTCAATGTAGTTACGACGACCGCCGAAGTAGTCCGCCTGTATTGAAATCAGTCTGTGTAACACCACGGATAAATACCTGAAATTGGATGAATTCAGAATACATTTTTGTGCATCGGTGAAATGTGTGATTGTCAGGTTATATTTTAGTTTTCAACAGACCCGGTGTTTTCGAGACTGTAA